GCCATGGCCGCACGCGCTGGTGTTCAGGCTGCTAGAGCCTCATGTCTGCAGGGGCGGTGCTCGTCTCATGTGTCTTTATATATTTGTCAACTAAACAATAGTAGCCGTACTATTGATACTACACATATTTCTAGTACGGTTACGACTATTATTCTTATTATTACTACTACTACTTTTAGTATTACTATTATTATTGCTACTACTACTACTACTACTACTACTACTGCTCCTATTACTACTGCTATTATTACTATTACTATTACTACTACTACTACTACCACTACTACTACTACTACTACTACTACTACTACTACTACTATTATTACTACCATTGCTACTACTACTGCTGCTACTACTAGTACTACTACTATTATTTTTACCGCTACTACTATTACTACGACTGCTACTACTACTTCTACTACTACTAGTGCTACTGCAATTACTCCTGCTACTAACCACGGCGACTATTGCAGTGTATATATGAAGCCGTCGGTGTACGTTATAGTAATACTGCCCTCTTTCTACCAGCAGCACTTCTACTATTAGTACGGCTACCTTTACGGCGATTACGATTACAACCACCACCGCCACTACCACGATTACTACCACTGCTGTTACTACCGCTACTACTGCTAGTACGATCATACTACTACTACTACTATCACTATTTTTCGTTTTCTTCTAATATTACTGCTGCTACTACTACTACTACTACTACTACTACTACTACGACTACGACTATTACTACTACTTCGACTACTACTACTACTACTACTACTACTGCTACTCCTACTGAAATTACTACGACTACTGCTACTACTGGTGCTGCGAATACTGCTGCCACTACTACTACTATTACTACTACTACTACTACGACTACTACGACTACTACTACTACTTCTGCTACTACTACTGCTACTACTACGCCTACTCCTACTACGGTTCTTACAACTGTTACTAATATTATTATTCCCACGCCGACTACTACTACTACTACTACTACTACTACTACTACTACTACTACTACTACTACTACTACTACTACTACTACTACTACTACTACTACTACTACTACTACTACTACTATACTACTACTACTACTACTACTACTACTACTACTACTACTACTACTACTACTACTACTACTACTACTATTACTGCTACTACTACTACTACTACTACTACTACTACTACGACTACTGCTACTACTACTATTACTACTGCTACGACTACTATTATTTCTGCTACTACTACTGCTACTACGGCGGCTACCGCTACACTACGAGTACTACTATTACTATTCGTACGACTACTACTTCTACCACTACTACTACTACTACTACTACTACTACTACTACTACTGCTGCTGCTATACTACTTCCTTACTACTACTATGACTACTACTACTACTACTACTGCTACTACTACTACTACTACTACTACTACTACTACTATACTACTACTACTACTACTACTACTACTACGACTACTACTACTACTACTACTACTATTGTTACTACTACTACTACTACTACTACTACTACTACGACTACTACTACTACTACTACTACTACTACTACTACTACTAGCACTAGCACTACTACTACTACTACTACTACTACTACTACTACTACTACTACTACTACTACTACTACTACTACTACTACTACTACTACTTCTACTACTACTACTACTACTACTACTACTACTGCTACTATTACTAGAACTACTACTATTACTGCTATAATTATTTTTCCAACCACCACTACTAGCTACCACTACCACTGATATATCAGGTAGTTCCACGGCCACACGATTATTTATTCTACGTTTACCCGCGGGCGTGAAATATTTGTTCGCCGCTTCGCAGTGCTAAGCTAACGCTTTGTGCGGGGCGGGGGCGACACCCTTGGACGGGCCACCCCCCAGGACATCCGACGGAAATCAAGCTTCCATTAAAGATTGCAATAGGAATCGTGTAGGGCGCGGTGTTCAGGCGAATGCACGCGGCGCCAAGGCGCGAGCTAGATTTGAAAACGAGCCGCCTTCAATCCGTGAAACTCGTCCACACATTATATGTATATGATTTACCCCAGTGCGACCCTACCTAGAAGTTGGAGCCCCTAGGAAAGCATCATTCGTTGCTATGCTATGCTATGCTGCGCTATGCCATGCTACTATGCTATGCTCTGCTGCGCTATGCTATGCTATGGTATGCTAAGCTCTGCTATGTCATGTTGCGCTGTGCTATGCTATGCTATGCTATGCTATGCTAAGCTGCGTTATGCTATGCTATGCGATGCTATTATATGCTATGCTATGCTATGCTGCGCTATGCTATGCTATGCTATGCTATGCTATGCTAGGCTCTGTTATGCTATGCTATGCTATGCTAATGCAGCGCTGCGCTATGCTATGCTAAGCTAAGCTAAGCTAACCCTCTAGGCAGAGCCTAGGTAGGGAATTACACCCATGCTTATTACCCGAAGCGAAAACTAACCTGGCAACGCGGTTGGCACACACGAGCGCCACACAATACACCCACAGATCCGGGGCAGGAGGACCAGGAGCTGGATGACGGTGAGGATGACGAGGAGGAGCAGGTGGCAGCGGCGGCAGTGGCGGCAGCGGCGGCGTCGCCCACGGATCCGTTTTTTGGTTTGCTCTAGGCTGGGGGGGACGACGACGACGACGACGACGACGACCGACGACCGACGACGACCGACGACGACGACGACGACGACGACGACGACGACGACGACGACGGATGCTGTGGTGATGCGATGGTGCCCATGGCGGGGGCTCCGGTCCGGCCAGCGAGGCTAGTTCGGCATCTGTCGCACATTGCTTTTGCTTTGCCTTTCCTTTGCTTTGCTTTTGCTTTTAATTTGCTTTGCGTTGCTTGTGCTTTGCTTTGCTGTCGCTGCTGTTGCTTTGCCTTTGCTTTGCTGCTAGGCTCAGCTATTCTATGCTATGCTGCGCTGTGCTATGCTGAGCTGTGCTGCGCTATGCTATGCTATCCTATGCTATGCTGCGCTATGCTATGCTATGCTGGGCTACGCTATGATATGCTATGCTGCGCTATGCTATGCTACGCTACGCTATGCTGTGCTCTGCTATGCTAAAGCTCAGCGAAGCTAAGATGAAGGTAAGCTAAGCTAAGACAAACCTGAGCTAAGATGAAGCTAAGCTAAGCTGAGATGAAATAAGCTAAGCTAAGATGAGATAAGCAACGCTAAGCTAAGGGGACGTAACTGGGGTAACCGCGGGGCGGATCCTGGGGGAACCGCCCGGGGCGGGTTCCACTGCCCGGCCCCTTAAGCTAACACAGTAAGAACCATTCTAGGCAGAGCCCTAGGTAGGGAAAAAAACAGGTGCGCGGCGCTAAGGCGAGAGCTAGATTTTGAAAACGAACCGCCACCAATCCGTGAAGCTCGTGCACGTTTTTATAGCGAATGCGCGCGGCGCTAAGGCGAGAGCTAGATTGTGAAAAACAGCCGCCGTCAATCCGTGAAACTCGCGCACATGATTCAAAACAATGTGCGCGGCGCTCGGGCGAGGGCTGGATATTGAAACTGAGCCACCCTCAATCCGTGAATTGAAGCTCGTGCCAATGTTTAAAGCGAGTCCGCGCGGCGCTAAGACGAGAACTGAACATAAAAGACGCTTTTAATCCGTCAGACTTGTGCACATGTTTTTAAAACAAATGCGCGCGGAGCTAAGGCGAGAGCATTATTTTAACCGAGCCGCCCTCAATCCGTGGAGCTCGTGTTTTTTGTAGCGAATGTGCACAGCGCCGAGGCGAAAACTAGATTTTGAAAACGAGCCTGGGGTTGGCGGATGTTTGTCCTGCTGTTTGGCACGGTGACAAATTTCTCATTCCGCTAGACGTCGTCCACCGGATTTTTTTGCGTGGTGCTAAGATAACGCGAGGGGGTTGCTCTCATATTTTTCAGGTTATTCAAGCCTCAGGAGCCCAAAAGCGACGACAGCTACAGGTTTCGAATGACCCCCTGAGGTTGGAAAGATGCGGTGCGGGGCCCTCAGGGAGGGGGCTTTCGCTTGAGATGTACCCGCAATTCGCTCGCAAGCAATGCCCCCGCCTGAGCCTTGCTCAAGAATCAAACCTCGGGGGCCCTGTTGATGTTGCGTGAGTGAGTGAGTGAGCGAGTGATGAGGGTTTTGGATGAGGATGAGGATAAGGAGGAGGAGGAGGAGGAGGAGTTGGAGGAGTTGGATGAGGATGAAGATGAGGAAGAGGATGCTGACGATGATGATGCTTTCGTTGATGATGGTGGTGATGATAAGGAAGAGGATGAGGATGGCGATGATCATGCTGCCGATGATGCTGATGCTGCTGATGGTGATGCTGATGCTGATGCTGCCAAGGCTGATGACGATGATGATGTTGTTGACGATGATGATGACGACGACGATGATACTGGCGATGATAGCAGTGATGATGCTGATGATGAATGGTGCACTGCGCGGCGTGTCCCGAGAAAATCAGATCCCCGCTGTGGACGTGGGGAACGTGATCCCTCGGAGGTCCGCGCGGACTTCTTGGACCGGCGCCGGGCCCCCTCGCGCGTCGGCGAAGGGGGTCCGGCGCCGATCCAAGCAATCCGCGCGGACCTGCGAGACATGATGTCTTTGTCTCTTGTTCCTCGAACAATCAACACGTATAATAAGGACGCACGATCATATTTAACATAAGTTATGTCTCTATACGGACGCACGATAAAGCCTCCGAGTCGTGCGTCCTAAATAGTGCGTCATGTCGGGTTTCTTATGATGTGTCTTATTAAGCGCAAGATAATGTGATCAATTATGTTTGCGTTTTTTGTTCCTCTAGGTCGTTGGCTTTAGGGGTTCCCGTCGTGTCCACGGCTGGGCGCAGCTCGGGAAACTGGTGCGACAGGACCCCGAGAGAGGTTCGGGAGCCGAGTTTGAGGTGCTGTTGTCTCAACTCCCCTGCTCCGAACTATGGCAACCGCCAGGGCTTGAGGCGCCTGGTTCGCACTTTCGGAGCCCTCGGAGTTCCCGCCACCGCGGTCATCAACAGCGACGCCGCCAAGCTGGTCACTGTGTCGGCCCTGTTGAAACAGTCAGGCTGGGAGCTTGGGGCCCACGGGATCAACAACTCCTCGGGGCACTCTCGAATGGATCGCGAGGAAGAGGTGGTCGCTTTCGGGACATGCCTCAAAGAGCTCGAGGCATCACTTGGTAGCCGCCCCCAAACCTGGCTGACACCGCAGTTCTCGGTCACTGAGCGCACCCCAGAGATTGCAGCGGCAGCCGGAGTTCGGATTTTCCTCGACTTCGTCGATGACGATGTGCCTTTCGATGTGGTGCACACGCCGACGGGCAATCGCATGTTGTGCTTGCCGTACTCGATGGAGACGAACGACTTCTCGCTCGTCCTTGCCAAGAACTTCGACCCCCGGCAGTACGCCCAGGTCATTGAGGACCACGTGCAGCAGCTGGCCTCGGAGCCGGGCGGCTCCAAAGTCGTGTGCCTCGGCATGCACACCTTCGTGGCGGGCACACCCGCGAGGGCTCTGGCGCTCTCGCGCGTGCTCGGACGCCTAACGTCGTGCCCTGCCGTGGCCTTCGCCACAGCTGCGCAGGTCCACGACCTGGTGAGAAGCGGCGAACCGCCGCGCTGAAGAGAACGCCATGCGCAGCACAGCATACCAGCGCCGCTCCTCTCGCCGCCGGCTCCATCGCGATGGCAGTCGGCGACGGTTGGTCTTGCTCGGCGGCGCGCCGATGGGGGAAGTGAGAGAGGGGGGGGGGGGGGCAGACCACGGCAGGCCTCCGCAGGTGGCGGCAAGGCTTCTCAGAAGCCCTCCAGCCTGCCGAGGCGCCCCCTGCGGCTTCGGAGAACGTTTATTGGATGCTTCTCGTACAGTAGAGGCCCTGAAGAAGGAACCCTTTTCGTTGGGGAGGGGCTCCGCATTCCTTGAGTGTTTCGCAGCTTGCCTCAGGTTCCCCTGATGTCTTCGACAGGAAATCGAAGGTGAACTTAAGGAAAAAAAAGGGGCCTCGTTCCTTGTTTAGGGTTCCTTATGTCAACGCCCCGACTGTAGGGCCGGAGGCCTTCTCAGCCTTCTGAGCAGGCCCGCCACCTCTGCACTCCCCCGGGGCGCGCCGCCGAGTGCTGCTCCCCTTCCCCTCTGGCAGAACTCAGGCGCGGCGCCAGGGACCCCAGCCCGGGGGCCGCCTCGGGGCCCCAGGGACCAGGACACTGCAAACACCAGGACGTTGCCAGGTCCGCTTGGGGAGAAGGAGCGGTGGGGAATGGGGAGCGCCTCGGCCCGCAGCTGCAGTTCTCCTGGGCGCGCCCCGGCGTCCTGGCTCCTCACAAGAGAGTCCCTGTTTCCAGAGCCCTCACCGCCCGCTTTCCCCGTTCCGTTCTCCTGGCCCCGCGGGCCGCGGGCAACTCTTCATGGCCTCCGTGGCGGGGGGCCACTCGGGGCCCCCAGGGCTTCCGCTTTCCCCGTTCCGTTCTTCTGGCTCCGCGGGCCGCTGGCAACTCTTCATGGCCTCCGTGGGGGGGGCCACTCGGGGCCCCCGGGGCTTCCACGATGGCCCAGGCTGACGGGCAAGAGGCCGCCGATTCGGTAACCTCGGCGGCGGCGGATACGGATCTGCTCGGGCCCTTCGGGGGCCAAGTTGGCCCCCGAAGGGCCCTCGGCGGGCGGTGGATGTGGACACCGTTGGCAACGGTGTCCACATCCACCGCCCGCCGAGGTCGCCGAAGATCGGTCCCCCATGCGGCAATGCTGGGTAAGCCCCCGCCTTGCACCAGCGCCTCCTGGATGGCTCCAAGACGGCCCGAGCAGACCACGACGACGGCAAGAGCGTCTCCGACACGGGCTGCCTGAGGGCCTCCAGCGGGAAACGCCAGTCATTCCCATCGAAGAAGAAGCAGAAGAAGAAGAAGAAAGGCCATGAACATGTAAGTTTGGCGCTCCGCGCAGATTTCTTGGATCCGTGCTGGGGGGGCCCAGCGCGGATCCAACAAACCCGCGTGCAGCGCCAAAAGCTTACGTTTATGCCGTTTTTGCTTTTTCTATCCCAGACATCCGGTGCCCAGGTTTTGCAAATACGGGGTCCCGGCAGGAATGTACCGATCGCCGACCACTGCCCCCCGGGGCCGGTTTCCCATCCCCGAGGTGTCGACGGTCCCAGGGGCCCGGCCTTCTGTCGTGCCTTGTTCGCGACGCTGGGATGGGTTACCACATGCCAGCGATTCCCTGTGCTCGCATGCTGCGGCCTCAGTACGGCCCAAGTGGCCCCCGTGACCGTCCCAAAGACTGGGACTGGGCCGCCGCCCCCCCCCGGGCTCCAAGAGGACCCCCAAGACGGCCTCAGATGCCCCCAAGACGGCCAAAGACAGACGGCCCCAGCAGGAGCCCACCAGGAGAGGCCCGAGCTGAAATTCGGAGCCTTCCCCCCAACATGGCCTCCAAGACGGCCAGCAGGCCTCAAAAAACACTCCCAGCACGCAGCCCGACTTGTATGAGTTTGGTTTTAAGTTGAGCTAGCCAGTGGTAAGAAAGTAGGGCCAGTTTTAAGAGCGCAGTGAGCAAAGAGAGCTCCAGAGACTTTGGGAAAGCTGTGGAGCGAGGCCGCCGCAGCCGTCGTCGTCAATCGAACTTCGAGGGCCGAAATTTGAGCATCAGAGCTTGTACAGAAGGCGCACTGATAAGGAACCGGACTGCCAGCAGATGACCCACAGAAAGTTCTAATGCCCCGATGGCTCCAGGGACCCGCAGAAGCTCTGGGGCACCTTAGGGTTAAGTCGGGCATGTCCCTTTCTACAGGAGGACTATTCAAAAATAGTCAAACATTAGTTTGGGTACGATTTGTTGACTAGTTGTGACTATTTTCGCATGCTTGTTGATTTTTCCCTACCTAGGCTCTTCCTAGAAGGGTTGTTACTATTAGGCTTAAAGGGCTGGGCAGTGGGGCTCGCCCCGGGCGGTTCCCCCGGCATCCGCCCCGCGGTTCCCCCAGTGACGTTCCCCTAGTTTTGCGTTGCTTATCTCATCTTAGCTTAGCTTATTTCATCTTATGTTGCTTTCCTAGAGGCTCCAACTCCTAGGTAGGGTCGCACTGGGATAATTCTTGTTTTTCCTACAGAATCCGCCTGTAGGAGGACATGCCCGACCCAACAATAGGACCCTCAAAAGATCGACGGAGACTGTGCCCCAGAGGTTCTTGCAGCAGCGCAGTGTGTCATCGTCCGTGTCTACTGCGCGTGTGGGGGCGCTGGCCGAGGTGTCGCTGCACATCGCGATCGTTTGGCTGCCGCGGTCTGCGTCCTAGGGGAACGCGTCGATTTCTGGCATGGGGGCCCGGGGACTCGTGTTCCCCGCCGTCGCCTCTGCGAACAGCGCTGACGTCGATAGTTGATGACGGCCGCCCATCTTCGGCGGCGAGCGGGGGGGGAAGTGAGAAGGAGAAGGCCTTCTCAGAAGGCTTGGAAGTCCCCCAGCCTTCCGAGGAGTGTCCTAAGCCTTCCCCGATGACCCAAAAAACCTTCGCAGAAGGCACGAGAGGTTCTGAGAAGTCCCGCCGCCTTCTGAGAAGGCCTTCTCCTTCCCACCACAAGTGTGATCAATAACTCACGCCCTTCCCGCCCACCCGCGTGAGCTAAATGGAATTCCAGTGCCAGTTGCTAGAATACCGCATCCGGAACAGATTTCGCTGCACTCCGACAGCGACCCGTGGGCACAGCGGCCGGATTAGACGCGCGTGCCTCCTGAGGAAGCGCATCGCAGACCGTTCGCGAAGACTGCTCGAAAAGTCCACCGTTCCCCCCGCTCGCTCGCCGCCGCCGGACCCCTCCCGGGCTCCATCCGACGCGGCTTTCCACCCAGGATCGAGTCTCGGGGGCCCCATGGGCCCGACAACGGCCCCCAGAGGCCGAAGACGGTGAGAAACCGCCCCGAAGATCGAACCTCGAAGCTCGAGAACCTCGAAGTTCCCCGCCCCCCCCTCGCTCGCTGCCGACACTTGTGTTTCTTCTGTTGCCCTCTCCCTTGGCGCGCGGGAGGCCTCCTCGCCCCCGCGGCAGAGCTCTCTCCCCGCTCGAGAGGCTCTGGGTGGTCGGGATGCGCACGGGCGCGCGCCGGGAGGAAGGCGCAGCAGGCGGTCCCGAGGAGGAGGAGGAGGAGGAGGAGGAGGAGGAGGAGGAGGAGGAGGGAGGAGGGAGGGAGGAGGAGGAGGAGGAGATGGAGGAGGAGGAGGAGAGGAGGAGGAGGGAGGAGGAGGAGGAGGGGAGAGGAGGACGAGGAGGAGGAGGAGAGGGAGGATGAAGGAGGAGAGGAGGAGGAGACGGAGGAGGAGGAGGAGGAGGAGGAGGAGGAGGAGGAGAAGGAGGAGGAGCATCCAGGCCGAGGTGTCGAGCCTCCAGCTCTCCGAGCCGAATCCGAGGAGTCGTCGGCGACGCCGCCGCCGTTGGTCTCCGTCGCCGCTGCCGCTGCCGGTGCCAGCAGATTCGAGGAGGCTGTTCGCTGCGTTCGGCCCTGGGGCGTCATCACTCTGCGTCCCATTCGCGTCATCCCCCCCCCTCCGTTAGCTGACTCTCCTCCTCCTCCTCCCTCCTCCTCCTCTTCCTCCTCCTCCTCCTCCTCTTCCTCCTCCTCCTCCTTGCCTCCTCATTGCCGCCCTTGTCCTGTTCGCCGTCGTCCTTCTCCTCGTCCTTCCTTCTCCTCGCCCCCTCCTCCGCCTCGCTACTTTATTCCTGCATGCTTCTCCCTCATCTCCTACGCCCCTTTCCTTCTACATACTCCTCCTTGCCTCCATCTCACGAGGTCGCTAGGGGGCACTAACATGATAATTACACCTTTTAAGTGAGCTCACGCCCTGTTCTCTGACAGATTCTGGGATTCCCAACTTGTCGTCGGACGATTATCCGCGGCTTCCCTGAGGCAGCTTATAGAACGTCTACAATGCTCCAAGATGGCCCAGAGATGCCACAGACAACATGTGGCTCTGGATGTTCATGACATGGTCCCTCTAGCGTGCTATGTTATGACGCCCGAATTACTTAGAACTTCTAGAGCGCGCGCAGCGCGCGATTGCTCTAGTCACATCCTGTGGAGAAATATGCCCTCAACATCGTGAATGATTCGGAAGTTCGGTCGCGCTGCTGCGAGCTCAGGGGTATGGGGCGGAACGAACGTCTGGTAGGACTGCATGGGCTGCGAACCGACTCGCCGCTTGGCTACCCCCGCCCACCATTAACCTGGTAACGCGTCTCCAGGAGCCTCGTTGCAGTTCTCTTGTTGTGCTCTTGACGGCCTTGAGGCCCTCTCGAGGCGGTAGCAGTTTGGAGTCTTCCTTGGGGCTCTCTTGTGTCCTACGGGTGACGTGCTGCAGCCTCAGGAGCCGACGAGATGCAGAAAGAGCGAGGAGGCGAGCCTCGGCGACAAAACTTGCTTGGCGGAGGTCATCCGTGCCAACTCGCACCGCCCTGCGCCAACATGGAGAGACGGCCTTGGGCTGCCTGGGGCCATCCTGGAGCAATCTTTGGGCCACCCTAGGTTGGCTTTGCGGGAGACCTTGATTCACCTCTTGCGCCTGGTTTTGTTTCTCGTTCGTTGCTCTTTAGTTGTTGTTAGTTGTTGCTGTGTCGCTTGGCCGCCGTGCCTTG